TACTGTCATGCGGTCGCAAGCCAGAAATCGCCTTGGACAGTGGCGTCGCTTGGCCCTTTGTGAGACCGAATTGATAAATATCAAGCTTATCTACAGCAAGTTTTAAGTCTCTGCTACAGCGGGGTTTTACTCTATTAGTATTGATCTATCTAATCTTGCTCTCTGCTGTGAGACCATTATTTTTGCCCAACTTTCCAAAGTCAATATCCACGGTTAGCAGCAAGATAAAATAACGGCAACCAACAAGGAATAAGTATAAGAGAACAGCGGTTTTTGTGACTTCTTCGCTAGGCTAGACTTAAATAAATAATTGTCACCCTTCGAGAAACTGCGATAAACCGGAACCTTTGTTTATCTTTCACTGTTTGTGAGTGAGACCAAAATCCGAAATTTACCCCCCCCAAAGGAGACGACGAGAATCCCCGCCCCTTTCACAGTGGAGTAACCCCCCCCCCCCCTCCCGGGGGAATCCCAGAAGTTGGTCGTTGGCCGTAATAATGGGTGGGGGAACTACTTTTTCAGGTTCGAGCCAGAGAGAATGGGGTCGCGTTAACAGGTATTTGCTTTATGGCGGAGTTCTAAGTAAAAACCTTTAGAAGAAGTGTGGCACCGTGGTGAAGTTGAGGAACGAAAAGCATTGCTCCAAAGTTTTATCTTGTACTAACAATCTTCTACATCTCCACTAATGGAAGCCCTGTACTAGTTCACAGTTTAGAACCGCGAAGAATTCTGTTTGATTCTCGGTACCTACATGTATAGTCTCCCTCTACGCACGTTTTAGATACAAGCATAGAACGGCGAGGGAAGCCGTCGCAACCTCGTCCCAGGGGCTTTTAAAAGCCCTGGGAACGAGCCGTCACACTGGTCGCACCCACTCCTTTCGGGCCTGGTGTGACGCACGTGGCGCGTGACTGAGGTTTGCTAGAAACGAGCCCTTTGGTGAGGTCACGAACGCAAATAACTCTAATTATTGTAAAAAAAAAAATACTTGTTTGGATCATTAATCCGATGTTCTTGTTTTACATAACTGAATCGTATTTAGCCATAGTTCGAATTTGAGACACGATGTCGTTGTAACGCTTGTTACAAAAATCTTCAAACGTAGCGTGCAAAACCAAAAGAAGTCTCACTACGAAAAAATAGTAAGAGTGTAACATAACAGACGTCTCGACTCCCATTCCCGGGAAAAACGCCGTTCAAGAATGAAATGACTGTCACAAAAACCTAAGAATTTAAATTGGACTCGTCCAACAAATAGGAAATTCAACCTCGAGCTACGTAGATACGGCTTTCCAAATTATATGCATGCACTTTAATACTTTCGTTACTTACAAGAATAGTTGTCACAGTTTCTATAGAAACTGTAACCTCAATAACCCCGCCTGCAGTGACGACTACGTTTCGTTGAAACGTCTGGAAACTCATTTCTCGGAAACTACAATAGGCGTTTGCTAAGGCTTACCAGAAAGCATTTTGCCGCGTAGTCTATGCTGATTTGGGAATAACTTGATAGCAGTTTGGTTTCTCGATGGCTATTGTTACAATTCCAAGCCTGGCTCCCTACACGGATAGCTGCAAGCTGCATAATTCCTACGATGCGCAAAGCTGTGTACTGGCTGCAGTCTGCATTCTGGTGGGAACTGTCCTTTGTTTCTTTGGTGAGATAATCGTTAGTTGTGTTAGATGATCTGTGGCACAGATGCAAGGCGTCCAACATTTTGTTTTACTCTTTTGTATCGCCGGTTCAGTTTCAGTTCAGGTCTCCTGTTTCTCAGTTGATCTTGCATTATATTTTGGGCTATTGACGTCCTATTCATGAAGTAATAGTGGCTCATCCACTAGTTTGTGTCTTGTTTGGCTTTAACATTTGGATGTGTGTCCTTTTCGGCTCGATTGGGCTTGAACATTTGCAAAGGCTTAATCAGGGAAAATCAATATTAAGCCGTCACTCAGTTGTACCCGAACGGATTTGATGTGTGCTTTTGATCGAGTTTAATTTTCAGTTTTTGTTCTCGGATATACGAACTTGAATGTCTGATGAGTCTCAACCCGGCTGCCCATTATTGGAGTATAAACCGCCATCCTGAATGACTTAAAAAATAATGGCCTTTTCTCTAAATCTGTAGTGTGGAATCTAATTTGATCTTTAGAATGACATTTATTTGTGAGTCTTCCAGAAAATTTGTTAATTTACTAGTTCCCTCTCGCGCTTACCATGACGTGTATGCAGATACGTTTCTACTTGATACATCATCAGACTTCCACTTTACAGTTTATTTTGGGTGGATTCACTCAAACGTGTATAGCCGTCGCCTTTACCTGATAGAATTTTTATTGTTTTTAAGCTTAAAAACAGTGAAAAAATCCAAGAGGTAAATGCGGTGGTTACACGCTTATGTTGCAAATGAATCGATTCCTTGTTTTAAGCCACTGAAGCGTACGATGAAATATTTGTGAAGGATTAAGCTGTATTGATGATCGTTCGGTAACATAACGATACAAGACCAGATGTATTGGTTTAATGGGTATAGAGTCCCGTTTATTTTTGGCCAGCAACTCAAACATTGTTTGATGTTACATGACACGTTAGGAGTTGCTGCGTCCGTTTACACCAAGAGAGGAAAAAGGGGACAGAGAAGGCATTCCCCATACACACCCTATTCCATAGGTAATTCGTCTCGAGTTATTTTTAGAATCGGGATAAAGTTACCTCACGCGCTGCGTGGATGTTTCGTGGAGGTTTCGCATGACTAAACGCCGTGCAAAACGTGTCGGGCGAAAGGCAATGAAAGCGTAAAGAGATCGAGAGCATTTCTGAATATTTAAGCGAAATAAGGCAGCGCTCACCTGGGAAAAGGGAATCGCTGGACTCCTTGACAACCCGTTTAACTCAAAGTTGTCGCAACCCCAGTGCTTTAATAAAATGATAAATTTCGCTGGCGTATTGAAACCGGTCGTTAAAAAAGCAAATATGACGCCAATTGTTGTTTTTGTTCAATAATAAAAGACTAATAAAAGAATAAATATAAAACCAGAAATTTCTCTCTTCAAACTGTAAGTTATAAATGATCCTGAGAGAATATTCAGTGTGTTAAGGATTTCCCTGCTGTACTGTTAGCTCTATACAAGAGAGGAAGGGCGATTCTTTTTTAATTTCCGTTTCGCTGACACAGCTTTAGCAGAAATCTCTCTTTAGTCGAAATCGTGGACAAAACAAATAGCAATATCGCTCTCCGCGTCTTCCGCCATTTTTTTCTGCGTCAATTCGTGAAGGACTCGTGGCTTTGAGCGTGGGTCATCCACGCGGAACACATTCGCGCTATGTGATTGGCTGTTTTCTAATCCCCCTTGGGATCTATGGTCTTACAAATAACTCGAAACAAATTACCTATGGAATAGGGTGTGTATGGCGAATGCCTTCTCTGTCCGCTTTATCCTCTCTTGGTTTACACGTATAAATTGCGGGTAGCGGGAGTTACACTGTAGTGAAAGGGCAATCCCGCTGATTTGGTTTAACTTCGGATATGCATCTTTAGAACAAAACTTCATGTGACCTTTATCTTTTTCTAGGCTACCGTGTGTTCAAATTTACGTTGTTCCTGGCTGGTTTTGCGGCAGGATTTTTCTTTACTTATCTTTTGTGTTCTGGATATTTGGTTGATCATCTTCCTGAGAAAGCTTTGGAACACAAGGATCAGGTGCAGCATAATTTTGGATGTAGTAGGACCGTTTCCTGGCTCCCACCCGGTCGTTACTAACCTGCGTCGTTGGCTGGATTCTCGGTGTCCGGGGTACTTTCTCGGCGGTGGAGCCGCCGATGCGAAGCGAGCAGATCCCTTGACTTGAAGCCACTCTTCTCGCAGCTCTGCGGCGAAAACAGCACAGTACTCCCACGCTAATCCCGCCAGCTGCGCAGGCTAGGTCGTTACTTAGGTCGTCGCACCCTCCCCCCGTTTTTCCGTTTTCACAGGGGAGGGGGGTGGGGGCTACACGCAGGAATTCTGTCCATTTCTTTTTTACTCATTAACCTCTTTGGAAACCGGTAGGGGACTGGGGTCGAGTCATTAAATTAATTTGTTAGTGTTTGTTGTGTAACAGTGATTAACCATCCGATGATGATACTTTGAAGAGTTTGTTTACTGAAAGGAACCTGGCGGATCATAAGAGACGCAACGATTTATTTGTTTATGACAATCAAGCCGAAATTTCAATTGTGATAATTTTCTTCAGGACTTTTGAAATCACCTTCGTTCTCTTTTCTTGATTAAGGCCCTCGGTTCTTTTCCTTCTTCGTTTTTTATTGAAGCCGTGAAAAACGAGGCCGGCGGTTTTTTCCCACTACAATTCATACCTTATCATCAAATTATGTAACCTCGCTCCTCACCCCTAGCAATAGATAATAAGAAGACTATTCTCTCTTGCCACAAAGGAATGTCCAAAGTGGCGAGGAGTGAGGAGAGACGGCCGTATTCGCAGGTTATATATCCTGGGTACCAGAGGTTTTTTTCTCGCCTGCGGCAAAGCCGCGAGAAAAAACGCGCGGGTCACCCAAAAAGACTTGACAATTAAGACTTGACCGAAACCGGAAACCGCCCATGAAAAGCTAGGGTACAGGCTGTATAACCCCTGTTGCAATTTCAAATCTTCTCAAAACTCCGTTGAGATCACTGCGCGTGCGTTAAATCGGTATCCATCTCCCACAACAATCCATCGTCCTCCTTCTGAATCACATGATGTTGCTGAAAACGGATGCCGTTATGCTCATTCTTTATGAACGGCCTCTAAATTTTACTATTAATAACGTCCATATTCGCAACCCCGTCCCCAGGGTCTTCTCATTTTCCATCCTGGTGCCCGTTTCTCAAAAGTCCCGTAATCTTTCGGGCCAGAAATCAAATATTCAAATCAAAATTTTAAGAAAATAAGACGTGGTACGTAGCCAACAAACCTGTTCATTTTGTTTTGTTGACTGATAGGTTTATCATATTATCTGCAAAACTACTGAGACCTCTCTTTTGAATATAAACAGCGACAATTTTGGGGGGCTGTTTAATTATCGGGACTTTAGAGAAACTTGCCCCTCGGGACGAGGTTGACATACCGGTATTCCTTATCTAATGATGAAAATAGTAATAAATAATAAACCACGGTGCTCATGAGTTTTTTTTTCTTTTTCAGATATTTCTCGGCGTCTCTCTCGGTGTTGGTATAATTGCTGGCCTAATGACGCTGTGTGTTTTCTATCTTGGACTCTTTGTCCTTGGTACGTATGATCTAAAGTTAGATCCCAAATCCTTAGCACCTTTTTCTTGACCCTATTACAAAGTTGAAGCCGATGGTAATGATTAACTGGAGTGCCTGCCGTTTTGTTTAGGAGCGACCATGGGATGGTTTGTTGGCATGCTCCTTCTTCCTCTTATGTACAAACATGTTGAATTCTTGTCTGAACACAACTGGGTTCCCTACATTGTCCTTTTGGCATTTGCCATCGCTGGAGGAATTCTCATTATTTGCATACAGAAGGTATGTTGTACAAATTTATCAATTCAGTAACGCAGGTATTAATGCAGTTTCATCTGCAGGTAGAACTGGTTCGATAACTCTTCATGGGTTCTTTTCTTTGTTGTTAATGGTTGGCCCACTGTCCATAAAAATAGGGAACCGAGACCGGTAGGGCTTCACTTTAATGCAACACCGAGTTTCGGGAGGATTTGCGAGATACCTATGTCTAGTTTTTCACTGGAAGGAGCTTTTAATGATGGTTTCCTCTTTGAGGTAAAATAAGTTCAGTGCTTAAGCGCACTAACTTTCGTGAGCAATACGATCAGGAACGCTCGGTCGGAGCTATGGAACAGATCAATAGGGAGCTTTAGCAACGAAGACGGCGACGGCAACCAGGACGTCAAAAAAGCGATAGGTTTATTACACAAAACAACAACTTTGCACGTCCATCACGCTTTTTTGTACACTTCTTCACCGTCCTTGCACGATTACGACGTGAAAATGCCTAATTGCAAGTTTTCTGGAGGACGTAAACAAGCGACGACGAATCTCTTTTTCTCTCTCTAAACTTTAGTGCGGTCCTCAAGAAATCAACTCCAGGGAAATTCGCCTACACTTGCCATTTTCAGCAAATTGGAATAAACGCGACAAGGATTGAAGAAACAGGAATTCATTTTAAAACTGACGTTTTCGCTGCCGTTGCCGTCTTCGATGCTAAAGCTCCCTAATACTTTCCTAAAAACCGTCCTTTCGATAACAACCTAAAAATATGTTTGGTTTTTAAACTGATCTATCTCAGGTGATCATAGTCATCTCTACATCGTTTGTGGGAGCCTTCGCTGTTATAACTGGGTTTGACTACTACTTGGAGAACAGCACCGCACTTTATTACTCTGTCAACATGTTGCATGGTAAGTCAGTATCCGTAATATAAATTGACCATACAAGACACGCACTCTGATTGGATGTCACGGCACTGGTTTTGATTACTGTTTTGGAAATTTGTGCCGTTCTTAGCTACTCCGTAAGAAACTCAATATCCTTACATGGTTAGTATCCTGAAAAGAATCTGACCATAAAAGGCATGCACTCTGACTGGAGTTTACTGAGATTGATTTGAAAACTTAAGATTGAGGTTTTTCGGCATTTTTCGCGAACCGCGAACGTCAAGAAGTCACGTAACCAGGGCCTTGCCGTCAGGTTTGAGGTTTGAGGTTCACGTTTTTGCCCCTAGACCGCGCTCAAGAGTGATTTACTGCAAGGTTTGTTACACCCTGAAACATCACAATTCCACGGTTGAGAACTCTTTTGCTCATTTATTATCAAATTCTGCTTCAAAAAACAGTATGTTGAAAACAATTTCTCAGTTAAAATAGTTGTTAGTGGATGAAGGAAGACAAACATGGCAGCCGCGAGTTACCACCCGCGAATCTTAATTCCCAAATATTGGCAGACGGGTAACGTGAAACCGTTAACCCAGGGTTTTCATTAAGAATTCTAGTAGCATGAGAAAGGTGTAACGTTACAGGAGAATATTTTGAAAGAGGCTCCTCATCTGAGAAAAAAAATAGTCACAGGCTACCGAACGTCAGCGGGATAATTTTTCATAATAAACGGAGAATTCTCCGATCTCCGATGCCTAATGAACACCCTGGTTAACCGCAAACCGCGGTTTGTCGTTTGAAGTAAAATGACCAAACATCGATCTTAAGGTCTTTATTACTATTTGGAGAACTGTACCCATCTTCACTCCTCTCTCAAGAAATCAATATCCTTCATGGTTAGTATCCCCAGTAGAATTTGACCATGCAAAGTACAAATAAGTACAAGTATGTTTGCGATTATTGATAAGACGTTTCACAACCACCACTTCATTTCAACAAACTGTAACTACACTATCCCTTCATAATCCACACCTTCCACTTCTCGCATCTCAACCAACCCCCTAAAATATACAACGCCACTGTACTACTCACACTTCCCTAATACACATAAATGAAACTTCACACACACGTAGTACATCGACGCCCAAATATACGCTCCCATAGCGTCCTCTTGTTCTGATTGCTGCACGGAGAACTTCTCCGCGTTTTCACTGTTCTGTCAATACGCTGCATTGTAAGTTAACAAGGACGGGAATTTCCAAGAACATTTGACCATTGTTATTATAATTTTATGATTCTGTTTAAATATATCCGTTTCAGAGTACATACACTCAAGCGCGAAACCTTATAGACTTGACCTCAAGTTAACTAACCGTCAGTTGCGTTAGCAACAGAAACAATGGATTTTAAGATCGTCAAGCATGTTTACTTCTGCCACAGTGTAATAACAGATGTTATTTTCATCGAAAGTTTGAGACACTAATCTAGTTCCTTTTTAGCCAACCCAGTTTTAGTTACAGGTTTTATTTGGAAAACTGTGTAATGTTTTCTTTTTGGGAAGAAGATAACAAGAAAAGTAAGAGAGAAATCAGGACTTTAACCACAATGCAGTCCATGCGAACGTACTCATTATGGCGTACCGGTACTTTCCTCTTTTATTGTTTAGGCCATTATGACAAGTCGGAATTGCCACACTGTTGGTACACTTGGCTTATGTTTTCATTGATTCCAATCATGTTTATTGCTGGCATGGTCGTGCAGCTTAAGAAGACTGGACAAGGCAGAGATCATAGAGAAGGTAAACTGAACTAGGAAAATCTCAGCCCGATCCCGACACACAAAGCCGGGCTAAATTAGAGTTTTGAAAAGCGCCCCTGAGTCAGATCTGGTCGGCCTCTCGACGGCCTGACCGCGCATTTTGAAAAAGAAATGTTAGTCTTTTCTCGAAATTTTTACTGAAACTCGTCACTGCCGTACATACCATTCAGAAATAAACTGATCTGGTTGGATAAGTGCCGTAACCTGGGGTTAAATTTTAATCCAGGTTTCATTTTCTCTCACTTTTCAAGCACCTTAAGTCTTAATTCTTAAATTGGCATTCTGGGGCTGAATGGTCAAGCAAAGTATGGGGAGAAAACGACTCAAACGTTGCGTATTTTTAGTTCAACGTAATTACGCTATGCAACCATCTCGTTATTACAGTCACTTTTTGCTGGCCAGAACAAAATTCCACTCATTTTCTCACTTTACAACCACGTTAATACGACCAGTCGAATGCCTGTCGGTGGATAAGTGAACCGGTTAACCAGATGACAAAGCTTTTTTCTCAAAGTCTTTAAAGTACATATTAAATTAAAAAAGCGTTTTACTGGTGTGTGTGATGTCACATGTCAGCCACATTGATAATCGGAGTTAAATTTTACTTCCGATTCCGAGATCTAAAAACCATAGCACCATAATGTGATATGCAACCCCGTAAATGCGATTAACCCGTTAACACGACGGAATTTTCATGGCCTAAACTTGGTCGTATTCTCGTGTCAACAAAAAGAATATGAAATGGAGAAGACATCAAAGATGTCAGGCTGGTTCAAGCGTAATTTTTTTCCCAAGAGCGTTGCCGCGTCAAATTTTTGAATTGTCGACGCGTCAAATCAATACCAGGACTGATTTCAAGTGCGAGATGGGAATGAGGGAATGGATGGGTGGAAGGCGTTGTGCTAGTGGAGCAGTGACAGAAACGTACTAGATTTTGTTCAGCAGATAAGCTCTTCCTAACTCTTCTCGTCCACTTTTTTTCATCCTCGCTGAACTATCTTTTTTTTATTTGTACTCACACAGCCTATTCGAGAAGATCACGTGTTCCTTTCATGGGAACTCGCATGGATGAATTTTCAGACCAGGTAAATGTTTAGCTTTTTATTTTGTAAGGGGAGGGCATACCGTTACGCCTATCATAAAGCATTTTCATGAAACATTTGTTTTGTACCAGTGCAGAACTAGAATATACCGGACCATACTATGGTTCGGCGTTTTCCGTGCGCCGATCTTAGGATGGTATTTGCTGTTTTCTTCTACTTTGGTGAATAATAGTTAATTTGTTATCCATTTTAGTAGCGACCGAGATAAGACCAGCAGTTAAGCATTTTTGTTTTATTCATCATTGTTGATTTGTAATTTCATTTGTTTATTTCAGCGACCCCTTGTAACAGCCGAGGAGTAGCCAGTATATAGTCAAAGTACAGTAAAACCTCTGTTTATAAAAAGTAGCCTGCGTAGCAGGCCTTAAAGGGGGAGGGGGAGTAGGGGGCGGCGGGGGAGGGTAAGAAAGAAAAGAAGGAGGGAGGAGAAAAAGGAGAGGGGATTGGGGAGAGAAGGAAGGAAACGCCTGCTATGATAACCCCGTTTTGTTCACCTCTTCGGACGCTGGCGTCCGCAAATTCTGATTGGTTAATCAGACAACTGAACAAGCTTGTTCGGCAAACCAAACTGGCGAATTCAGTTAGCCTTATACGTTGTGTTGTTAAACATTTTCCGAACGATGACTTCTCCGTTAGGTTTCAAAATCAATGCCGGTGCCTTAAGCTGAGTGCTTGGCTTTCCCGTAATATCTTCTATATTACAATAATTCAACAAAATAGCGGCATCTTGTCCAGTGAGTGTTACTGGCTCAGCCGTCTGTGTATAAAATGTTTCAATACCAGCAATTCCCGATCCTGCGTTCGACGGGTCACTCACTGTCGAGCTTTCTGCAAACAAGGTCTTTCTAGAATTAACCTTTCCAGGAATTTTTTCTTTTAGCTGTTCACTGTCAGATTCGAGACGTTTCTTTCCTTACATCGCTTCTTTCTGGCGTGATAGTGGTGCTGTCTTTTGCTTAGATCTTCTACAGCCTCTCAATGTAAATCTTCCTCGACAATAGTGTTGCTTACAGCTTTCTCGATGAAACTATACTGTTCAGCTGCGTTTCGAATTTTGTGACCACAAGGTCTGCAGATCCGTTCTGACAAGTTTTCGTTTCTGGTTAATCGCAACCCGATAGAGCCGCAACAATGAGCTAAAATCAGCCCCGCACTTTCAAATCTTCCCGACGACGAAAATGAATTTTTAAATGAGGCTCGTCGTCCCCCAGAAGTAAAGTTAACTCCATAAAATCTACAACTTCTATTTTTTTGAACGTTTACATTGGGTTTCCATCCTCTGTTACAAATTTTTGTAGGAGTCGGGGCGCCGACATTCTCTTGCGAAGATTTTCTCATGCTCTACAGCTGCGAAACCGCCTTTGGCGATACATTCCCGCGTGAAGTCATTCATGCAGAAAAGCGTGCGCCTAATTCTGATTGGTCGTTGAAGTGACAGCTGGGATACCGTAATTGAAATAAGGGGCGAAATGAAAAAGACGCGACTTTGGTAGCAGGCGTTCCCTTCTTCTCTTTCTTACCCTTCCCCGCCCCCCTCCTTAACGCCTGCTACGCAGGCTATTTTAGCCTCGCACCAACTGGGGTTATCCCGGATGAAAACGAAAACAAACGCGCGCAAAGCGCACTTGTTGAAAGGGACCCTTTAAGTGCTAGGAAAAAAACGTGGAATGTCCACATTTGTTGCAGGACAAATTAGTTGTTTTCTCCCACTGATATATTCCAAGGACTTTTACTTTCATCTGAAGCAACTGGCTTCTTTTGAACTAAAAATTCGGATTTTTAACTTTTACCAATGTACAAGAGATAATTTAACATTCTTAGATATCCTATCAAATATTACTTAAAGAGCGCGATTGAACAGCCGTTGTATTAAGCATTTCCAAACTTTAGCTTCGTTTTCATGTAAAGCTCAATGGGCACGAAGTACAGAAGTGCCGACAAAGTCAAACATCTTCCTTAGGTCCCCCTTAACACTTCTACACTGTTAGCTTGAAATCATCACAAACATCCCACGAAACTTTTCAGCGACGTATGCTCCCTGATTATTTTCTAACGGGAAGGAAGGCACACCGTCACGTCTTTCAAATTTTCATGAAACACTTTTTTGTAACAGTGCAGAACTAGAATATGCCAGACTATACAATGGTCTTGGTTTCCGTAAGCCGACCTTACGATATTATTTGCTGTTAACTTCCAGTATCTGGTCGAAATACAGAAAACATAGTAGTTAGACAAAAAGTCGTTTGCGTAGTACGGTTTCTGTTTATGTTTGGCGTGCGCGGGAGCCCATAACGTGCAGCAATACATGTGCACCTTAAAAATGTTATTAAAACGCCGTTAACACGGGTCCGGACAAATTTTTGAACGGATAAAAACTTGCATGGATTCGCATTTCGTTTACCAGGACCCCCTGGTACCGTGCAAGTTTTTTTACCTGATCAGAAGTACGGACTCATGTAAACAGTACTGCAATCTGTAACAGAATTTGCACGGTTCAGTGTTATCGGGTTGCACAGGTAAAAAATTCGCCCTTTTGAAATTTATCCGGACTCGTGTCAACGGAATCTAAATCGTCAGATCTCTGACGAAGGGCCTGCCCTATGATCCTATAGGGGGACGCTCCACCCAAAAGGGTTACTTTTGTTTAGGCTTCAGGTATATGAAAGGATAGGGATTTCACTAGTTGAGGTATATGAAAGGGTAGGGAAATGTGTTTTCTGAGTATTTTAAAGGGCCTTTGATCAACATTTTTTCGAACAAGCGCACCTTATGGCTGTAGCATTAAATTTATTAAACGCTACATGAAAATGACAAGACACTGACCATGAGGAGTATGAGGACGAGAAACGTTCTCTCCCCATTCTCCCACTTGCTCTCTAAAACAGGACAGTGAAGCCTGCGGAGGAGGCTAGTCTGATAGGTACCATTTTTTAATGGGAGGTGTACAAAGCTGGCACCCATTCTATCAAAAATGGTATATAAAAGGGTAAGGGATTGAACCTTGGGGCGAAACATCTAAGTGTACAACTTTGCTGAGTATCCCCTCAGAACGAAGGGTTAACGCTCGATACGTCAGCTTTTGAAATATTTTTATGATGGTAAGCACTTCATGATCAGCATGTGAAAGGTTTGACAAAAGGGGCATTTTACTGGCGTTGCGAAAGTTACCTAAGTACAAAATTTTCGTTTATTGTAAATAGCAAAAAAATACGAGATTTGGTTTCATTTTTGGCAAGCAGGGGCTTTATTTATTGTCAGTGTGGTTTCTTCTGGGGTATTTTCTACGGTGTTATTTGCGGCTGTTGAGGCAAACTTACTAGTTTCGCAAATTTATGTTTGCAACTACAAAAACCAATCAAGGAACCTGCTCAATTTTAAACAAAGTACATCAGTATTTTTGACATCAACAAGAGGGACTCCTGTTTCAATGAAATCCCAAAAAAATAATGTTAAAATATCTTGGATTCGACAAGGGGAAAAGAAACTAAATCTCTAGTACAAAGAGGATTCCCTTAAAGTATCTTAAAGTTTTTGCTTGTAATATCTCTCGTATGACTTATTCATTTCTCTTGGGTTTTCAATTTGTGTCGATGAAAGTAACGACCGGTTACTCGATGTTTATGGGGCGGCGGGAATCTCGTGAGTCAAGGAGTACATCAGAATCAATAACACCAAAGGCTTTTTCTAGATCTAATTTTCAACAACAAAATACAGTACTTTCTGTGTAATATGTACGGACAAGAATCAGGGAACTGGAGCCGAAGACTTTCTACGGAAAATTTCAGTCGACCGATAAAAACAAGTTTGACATCACAGATCCCAAAAAAGTGTTTCTGCCGTCAAAACAGAGTCATCGGTCCTTACTATACTACTTTAGTTTGTGTTATGTACGTTATCCACATAAGCCAATCTCTCTGAAATATTCCCTGGAACCAAAAATATGAAACGTTCGAGTGTGCAGTTTGTACGGACTACTCGGCCTATTTAATAACCTTTGGTTTGTCCCAAACGTCGTGCTATTGCCAGACGAAACTAAATTCAACCGAGAATTAAAATTCGTCTCGACGGTTACTGATTTAACAAGACGTTTTAAGTTATTCTGAGTTCGAGACGGTAAATTAGATTCGGAGCAACTCATTTTGGCACCGTCCTCCCAGGTTCGTGTGGACGGGGCCTGATTTACGTTTACGTTTACAACCACTGCCGTGCCAGTCGTTCTTCCGGGTAGATTTAATCTGAGTTCCACACGCTAGGCCCGCCACGGTAGTAACAATTTAGTGCCCTTTGGAATACGCCTTATGTGTTCCCGGGAATAAGTAGCACAAAATATTGCATTAAAATGTAATGTATGCATTTTTTAGTTTCTTTTTTAAAGCGAGTCTTTTTTGCTTATTCCTCATGAAAAATACGTTCCTGGAAATATTAAACATGGTCGTAGACCACGTCTCACTTTTCTTAAGAGGCTTAGGGTATAACTTGGAAATGAGTTATAGTGCTTAAAGATCTCTAAAATGATGTTAAAATGCTTAAATATACGTTTTCTCTACTTAACTATATCCTAACTCAGTAACGAGTTCCATTAGAGGACAGCATCATTTCCGATCCTTGAGACGTTATAAAACCGCAGTTTGTCCATCGGGTCACGGGGTGTTTTCAGGTACCATGCAACCTTCAATGTCACTGGCTGAAAAGATAAAAGTACACATCCCCAGCGATTAATTATTGACAGAAATGGTGTTATAGCGGAGCACCATGGGTAAGAAGGGTAAGAAAATCCGGTTATCTATGCATCCAAGAAATTTTGGTTCAGACAAAATCATCCGTTCGTACGTACGTCCACTCCCCTTCATGTAAGCAGGAGTGAAATTTGCATTTAAAACACCCGCGCGTTTCGCATGGCCACCTGGACTTTTCCACAGAAAAAAACAACAGCAAAGCCTAGTCTGTCTTTTTTTCGACTAAATCTTAATGTTTACTTAGGCATGGTTAACAGAGAAAGAGCAAGAGACAAAAAAAACAAACGTGACTAATTTCGCTGGAAGGAAAACATAAACAGTTTTTAGCGGTGGTGAGGAAATGACAAGTGCTAGCGGCCACGAAGGTGAGAATGAGCGGCAGTGAAAAGAACCGGATAGGAATACATACGACATTTCCTCGATAAAACGTGTATAAACTAGGAAGTTTCTGGAAGTTTGACGCTGTAGTCGTGCAAAACAGCGGCAAAGGAATGTACAAAAAAGTGTGCTGCACATGCGAAGTTGTCGTTTTTTTTTTTTTTTTTTTTTGCCGATTAGACCCTTTTGATTCTTTTAATGCCGTTCTCATTGTTGTCGCCGTTTAGCATTAAACTATTTTATTTTTTCTTTGAGTAAACTTTAAGTATATACGCCACTTCCACATTTCCCTTATTGGCGCCCCAACATTTTGCATGAGCACTGTTTTCAATTTCTCTTGGGACGGCTGTAATACCCAGGAGAAATGAAAAACAAAAATAAAAAAAAAAATTCGGGGGAGGGGGCAAATAAGGTGCATTACGGGAAATTTCAATATATACCTAGTGCGGTGTCATTCCCAGATACGACATTTCAAATAAGCGACACTACTGGAAACGTTAGACTACGAGTAGTCCCCATTTTTTCTCAGGGATAGTAGAGTGAGCGAAATGCGCGCACGCGTGAAAATGTAGGGTGATTTTCACGCGCACTCGCATTTCACTCGCTCTACTATCCCTGAGAAAAAATGGAGACTACTCGTAGTCTAGGAAAAGTTAATAAAGTGGCGATCATTTCGAGTAAGTAGATACCGCAGCATTCCCTTTGAAAGGCCAAGCCCCTTTCCTGAGTGAATCCGGTTCTTCAAGCTTCTTTGGTCACCAAGCCTTAAACAGACGGTCCACAGTAGTTCCGGATGCTCGTTCCAAAGAACAGTCAAAATGGTATCGTCTTAGAGAAAAAGGCAATAACAGACTAAGCTATTTTTCAGGGGTTACGTAAAGTAGGTGATAAATAGGTAACGAATTCTTGCAGCGTAAAGGACTGGATCTACGCCCTGACATAGAAAAGGGGCACTAACGCTGTGTTTTGTCCCTGGCTTCATCCAGTCCTCTCACACGGCCCAAAGAGGTGTCAAGCCAATAAGAAACTTAGCAATAAAAGGGCGAATGAACATAAAACAAAAGAGCAAACCTAACTTTGACTATTCTGTGAGTTTGGAAAGAACAGATTCATAACATAAATAACTGTGTAACTATATAACCGTATTATAGTAAGACCTCACTCGGCGAATGTCATGTTTTACATGGAATAATTTGGGAGCAGTATAATTTTTTTTTTAACAGAAGGGACTTCACCTTTAAGTTTGTTCACCCGGATTAAAGTTTTCTTTAGCTTCCTTTTGCTAAAAACTTACCAGAGAGATTACTGTTGTTGTCCACTACTTCTTCGATATCATCAACGATGTCGTTTCTTCCAATAGTTCTGAGGTGTTCTTTAATATTTCCTATGGTCAAATCAACACGTGATGTGCTGGCTAAATGTTCAAACAAGGCTTCAGTTGGACTCAGGTTTCCTTCTCTGAAGTTCCGGCATTTGCTCTTTATTTTTTCTGCAGGTACTTGGAACTCATCAGCAAGCTGCTTCCATCCCCGGGTGACATGATCATCTCTCCTCCCCGGACAGTTTGGTCTATCCAAGTGGAGGCATATGACATCCATAACAGAGTCCTTGCCTCTTACAATCTTGTCTTTTACTAGTGAACCTAGAATAGCAAACCACTGGTAAATCTCTAAACACTCGGAGAATAAAAAATTTCTTTGGAAGCCTTTGAGCAACACATACTATGTCTTAAAATGAAAACTGACCCTCTATCGCACAGGGCACAGTTTTCTTATCAGTTTGAGTAGCGAAAGTTTTGTTCCCATGTTTTAAAGCTAGATCACTTTCTACTTGAATGGGAACTCCTCTTTTACATTGCTTGTGATCACCAGGAGCCGCTGTGATAAATATTGCCAATAATACAGACACAGTAATAATTGTTGCTCAGAAGATTGGAACTGATGGAATTTTCTCAGAGAGCCATTGGTTATTTTTCGAACCTCAAAATATTAGCATATCCCCTCCCCAACAAAACAACTTTCACCGGGACGCCTAAAAGCAGATTGTTATGAGTTTTTCACCCTGAAACCGTGGTTGATTCTCTACTATCTTTCTTGAAATCAGTGAGAACGTAGAGAAAGATCAAAATGCGTCCTTCACGAAATTTAGCCTATTGTTTACTCCAGGCACGAACCCAACTCAACACAAACGCTCCGAAAATTATCGGAAGAGACCTGAAGAGATGCCTTTTCTGCCCACGGGTACGGGTTGGCAAACACGCGTTCCATGTAATTATACAAAAGGCTACCATGCTCAGTTTCCCAAATGTGGTAATGGCATCATCGTTCTACCCGGTAGCCTAGCTGTTTGTCTGGGATGAGAGACAGTCTACCCGTATTAACGCCTACGGTAAATTAACCCGTACCCGCACACGAAGGTGGTGTACCATAAGGTCTCTTTGTGACGAGCTCGACAAATATGTATTATTACCAGGAAGAACACGTTGAGGGTCTTCATGAGTGGTATTTGGACGAAACACTTGACCAATACCCCCTTGTGCTGGATTGGACGAAGAGGGATTTGATCCATTGTCGTTTACGCTTCCTTGTGAGTCGCTGACATCTGAAGAGTTAGAAAAAATAGCTAATGAAAACAAAAAATACAGTACACCGCCAAGACAAGCACAATCTTGAAAATGGATCGTCCCATTACGGTACGGATAGGTTTCTGCCACTTTGTCGCAGTGAGAACAGGTATGCGGACTATTGCGGAAGAAAAGGAGGAAATAAGTAGAAGCGACGACTGCAGGGTGTCCAGCGGCATGGTTGCTCAAAAAAAAAAAAAGAAAATAGGAAACTTTGTATTTAAAATAGGAAAATCAATAGTACTTCGTCATCGGCTATCCTGATTCACAACTTTAGTCCCAGACTTTTCAAAAGTCCTTCGTCGGATTTCATATGGCGAGTCTACTTTAGTCCACCAACAGCAGAAAACATAAATAGGACAAAACGAGTATTTTGGTTAGAATTTTTATTCTTCTCGATCTTTTTCTCTGAGATAAATCTATCAACGAATCTGTATAACATATCTTTTTTAAATAGCTGAGAAATCGAAGATCAAGCAACAATTTTAAAGATTTCTTAGAGGGAATAAGTGTGGTGACTTTGATTTCCGTACCCAACGGCAATTTTCGGGAAAATATCTGTTCGGAAGACGATGTGAGAACTAGGATTTTCGGTACATTTGTTGTAAAATTTCTTGCTTGCCTGCCTCTCCTAGGATTTTCGGACATCTACAAAATGGTATAATTACCCATTTTAAACGGATATTTACCCTAAAAAAGGCCACCTAGAATTTTCGGGAGCCTTTTCCTGGCTGAAATTTTCGAAAAGGTAAGTTTTGATCCCTATGATTTTCGGATCACTAGACTTTCAGCTAGGAAATCCGAACAGATAAAAAGTTTTTAGGGGATAAAAATATGCCTATATCTACCGTTTAAATACTAAAATACGTTCAACAATGCTATGTTAAGCGGTTTTGAACTATATCCTCGTTGGGTGCCCCTGATGAGCCGAAACCAGGGCACTTGTTTCGGGTCATGGTTTTAAGAACGAGATATATTCGTGTTTAGCGCGCTTGTTTCGGGTCATGGATTAAAGAAAGAGATATATTCATGTGTAGCGCGCTTGTTTCGGGTCATGGATTAAAGAACGAGATATATTCATGTGTAGCGCACTTGTTTCGGGTCATGGATTAAAGAACGAGATATATTCATGTAGTGCCCAGGTCGCCAAGCCGTCGCCAGGCCACTAAGCTGCGTAGCTGTGTAGCTCCGTAGCCACTTAACCACTTAGCATCCTAGCGGTGTAGCTCCGTAGCCGCGTAGCCACGGATTCTAGATGTGTTTTGGAGTGGCAGGGTATTCTGCAGTTAAGCCCCTGTTTTAACGTGCGTTGATAAAGCTCTCCATGGATTAACAAGCGATTTCCACGTCCTTGTCTTGAAATAAATACATATTCTAGGTGTGAGATTTCTCTTCGTTGCTTGTTGGTGATCGCGGTGCTCATATTGTCGGTTCAATAATTCATCGATGCAGTACATCAACCGTACAGTGACCGCACGTGCTTTTACTTCAACAAGCTCGGCTTATGTAGTCGATACCGAGACCGTTAAAATGCAAAGTGACGTCCATCGGAGATAAAATTCAAAGGAAGGGAATAGCTCCAACAAACAATGAAAATAACAAAGACATCTCTCTATTTTTCGTAACATAACACCAGCTAAGCATCATTGTCAAACATAAACAGAAAAAAGGGTAGTTTCGAAAACGAAGCACTCGAAAACGAAGACCGAAGCACGAAGCACCCAAAACTCGAAAACGAAGCACCCAAATCTCGAAAACGAAGCACCCAAAACTCGAAAACGAAGCACCCAAAACTCGAAAACGAAGCACCCAGATCTCGAAAACGAAGCACCCAAAAAAAGTCGAAAACGAAGCACCCAAAACTCGAAAACGAAGCACCCAAATCTCGAAAACGAAGACCCCTAAATCTCGAAAACGAAGCACCCTAGATCGAAAAAAAAACTCGAAACCGGTCTGTCCTTTATAAACACGAGACCAATGCTAATACAGCAGGAATCAAGCACGATAACGAATTCTCCTGTTCCCCACCATAGAGCCTGGTCCCAGGCTGTTATCCTAGAACAAATTCTGCCTGGATCTGATCTGATCTGATCACGCAGTGTCATAGATATCCAATATGTTAGACTGCAAAACAATCGGTTTTTTTCTCAAAATCAGTAAAGAAGTCGGTAAAGCGTGGCGTAAGAGTAATACGCGCGAGCCTCACACTCCGTTTTCAGCCTCGTTTCAGACCTTTTGTGTTACTGCTCACGCGTACTTGAATACGCCAAAATCTGCTGACGGACAGTTTTGAAGTCTACATAAACATGTATGTGTACCGAAAAAATGCATATTAAGGTAAGATGTATCAAGTATAGCGAGACTAATATTAAAATTAATACAGGATATCCTATCTAGAAACGTTCAGTGAAACAGTTGGTTGTGGACCTTTGAAGGTGCGGACTCATCCGCTGCCTCCACCTGATTCGGATTGCGTCATGTAAGACGTAAAGTTGCACTTATTAAACCTACAGTAGTTTCGAGTTTTCGTTTTCGAGATTTAGGGGTCTTCGTTTTCGAGTTTTGGCTGCTTCGTTTTCGAGATTTTGGGGTCTTCGTTTTCGAGATAGGGTGCTTCGTTTTCGAGATTTGGGTGCTTCGTTTTCGAGATTTGGGTGCTTCGTTTTCGAGTTTTGGGTGCTTCGTTTTCGAGTTTTGGGTGCTTCGTTTTCGAGTTTTGGGTGCTTCGTTTTCGAGATTTGGGTGCTTCGTTTTCGAGATTTGGGTGCTTCGTTTTCGAGTTTTGGGTGCTTCGTGCTTCGGTCTTCGTTTTCGAGTGCTTCGTTTTCGAAACTACCCAGAAAAAAGCTTTGTTGAGAAATGGCAAAATACATATACAAAAACACCCACTTCTTCACTACAATGGATCCTACAAGAATTATCAAAATGTCTTAAAAAAAAGGTTTTATACGCCGGTTGAGGTCCTACGGTGTGCTGTTCCATGACATTTGCTGGCCTCTATATTTCAAGTTCGCCACGCGCGGTTGCGACCGGAAGCCGCTATGAGAAACCAATTTTACGTAAAATAATGAGACAAAAAAGCTTTAATAACTATAAACCATTGAATTTAAACATTCGTCATACCCTCAAGATATAATATTTGTGTTTTGATCAGCGAAAAAAGAGCGAATTCAAGAAAAAATGCCCCATCTTCGCAGGACTTAGCATAAAGAAATTGAAACCTTCGTCTTGTATCTTAACGGAGAAAGGGCAGAAAATGCGATACTTCAAAACGATCAAACCCATAAAAATCGCGAGGTCGAAAGAGGTCGGAGCGTGGAGCTAGTATCAAGCACCCCTTGTCCGCTGATTTAAATAATTTATTAGGGCAAAACATCGCTATAATAAAGACAGTTTTCGATAATTGAAAGTCATCTCAATAAATATTCACTTGCGAGTTAAAACACATGAAAACAGCATGGCTTAACAGGGTCGTAGACGAGAGCAATAATGCGTGAAATGACCATGGAAACATCTTTCATTATTAATCAGATACCAAAGATTAACAGGGATCATTGAAACTTACCTTGGATGAACTGCATCTTGAAATTCAGGTCGTTGAAAATCTCCCTCAAAACCCTCAAACGCTCTTTCCACCGCGGAGAGAAGACGGAAATTTGCCGCGAAGCATTATGGGATATATGAAATTCACCTTTATTCGCTATGGAACTTAACTTAATAGTTTTCAGTTTCAGTTTCAAAGATGAACATAAAAGCGAGCAAGACCTCAAAATATAACATGCACACATACTGAAATGCAGTTTCAGTGGGCTATGCACATTATTCAAAAGTCTTGAGAACCCTAACACTATATACAATACCTGGAGGTGCACTAGAAAATTATACAAAAAGTAACAATATAACAAAGTTGTTAACAGAACTGTAATAGGCAATAGAGGGCATGGAAAGAACAAATGTAACTTGCTAATATTAGAACATCAAAGTCAACATACTATTTGCTTTATGATAAATCTCACTCTAAAACACATACAACAAAGTTCCATTTTCAATTTTTTTGGTTACAAATTTTGGCTTCACCAGTTAAAAAATAGTAAAAATAGGAGGTTTTAGTTTAAAAATAGGAGAAAATCGGGAACAGGCTCAAAAAATAGAAAAAAAAAAGGAACTGGACACCCCGCGACCGGAACACACTTGCTCCAGTTCTGTACCGTTGCTGTTCACACTGTACCTAATAGCTTTTCATGTCGGCACGAAAAGCTATTCGGTATGTAGTGTGAACGTAGCCTACATGCTGATCAATTATAATGATCATGGCCCCAGTTCCGATATATTCGTCGTAGTCAAGACATACTTGATCCAAACGTTGCAAGTACGTGTTCATTGAAAGACGGCATCTAAAATTACTCCAAGGTCTTTTGCAATAAAGATATAACGAACTGAATTATCGATCTTAGCAGTCACCTGTTGACTACCAAATATCATGAATTTCGTTAATCAATAACAAAGCACTAGTTGCGGACTTTCAACAAATCCTGGTTGATCTTTGCCGTACAATGTTCAATGTCACTGTCACCTTTAAACGTTGTCAAGAAAATAAGTAAATGCACTTACCCTCTGTAGACTTATCAGCGCCTGTAGAGAAAAGAGAATAGGTAAGCTTGCAATTTTTTGGTAAAGAAATATGTGTAATCAAATGGTATACTCGTGAAATTAGGGAATAATTTAACCCGCGTTTTCAAGGTGTAATTATTCCCTAATTTCACAAATATACCATTCGATTACCTATTACTACTGTTTCGGTTTACACGCGACCTGCGATGTCAAAAACGTTTTTGCATTTTGGATTATTTTTCCACGTCAATCAAAATAATTGTGTTTTTCGTTGCCGTCAATCATTTTAGAGGACCTCTTAGGAAACAGAAGTTTACTTCAACGGGTCACGTTAAAAAGGTCATGGTTTGTGATTTGTGGATTTCGATCCGTTTTGTGTGTTTCTGTGTTTCAAGGCTCGTTGTATTCGAAGTTCAGAATTCGCGACGTGTGTTCACATTTTAGCTCTCAAGTTCTTTTTTACCTTCTTACTGAAACCTGGCAAGTTTACGGATTCCCAAGGTGTTCTGTTCCTATAGAGCTTCCAAATCCACAGAAGAAACACAGATATGGGAAGGTGAAAACGAATCGAGGATTCTGACACCATGTTGCGATTTGAAAGGGCGATGGATCTTTAAATGGCCTGGATGTATCAATTGATGGAGTGGATATTCCGCGATTTGTAAACTCTCTTGATATTTTTGCCGAAAGCATATAAGTTTTGTTGAGCTTACAGTTATGAGAATAAACGTCTCTCTCTTTTAAACGCCTCCAATGTTTTAGACGCCCGCGCTTGGACCCATAAAATTAAATAGACGCCCGGGCGATTATTAGGTCATTTACGGTGGGCCAGGCCGACATAGTTT